CTGCTGCTGCTGCTGCTGCTTCTACAAGCACTCCTCCTCCTCCGCCCTGCTGCTATTTCTACGGACCACCACCAGGTTTTCGACCTGCACGCTGTGCGAACCGCCGCTTCCTGAAGCCCTGAGCCTGTCCAAGCCACAAATTAAAAGAGCAGGCTTCGGGGATATACCATAGTATAGAGAATATATTCTTGCATGTGTATTTATGTGTACGTATGTATTCACATGTGCGCAAAATATAGTAACGGATATATACTACGCAACCCCAGGTGAATTGGCAATCACTCAGGGTTCTATATGCTACGGGGGCCAGTCTCAAAGTTTTCTAGAAATCGCAGGCGTTTTGCACGATGGCTCTGAACGGGTCTTGAACGGGCTTAGTGCTTCGCACCGGAATGCCCCGAATCATGGCCAGGAAATCTTTGTAGAGCAAGGGACGCTCCTCGTTGCTAGACCGTAAACCTTAAACCCTGGTTACGTTTTGGGGACCCTAAACCCTAAACCCTAAACCCCAAATAATCCTGAACCTCGCCTAGGCTTGTCCGAGAGTGAGTGCTGAAACCCTCAAAAATAAACCCTAAACCCTAAACCCTAAGAGGAGCTGGGAAAGCCCTTGAAGTGGATGCGCCAGCGGCACCTGGAGGTGTCCTTCTCCAAAGACCTTGTCTTCACAGGACCCCCCAGAGCTTATAATGGCGTCGAGTCTTAGAGTGTAGGCTTGAAGGTTTCAGTTGTTGGATCTGAAGTTTGAGTTTAAAGTTTAAGGTGTAGTCTTCAGGGCTGTGTAAGGCTACGCAATATTTTCGCCAGCAAAAATAGGCCTCTAACTTGTTGAATTGGAGGACACAGTAAGATCCGCATCGTCGTAATCCTTCTTGGGAAGTGTATGCAGCGCAGGAAGCGACACCGTCTCCACGCCTCTCTCGCTGATGGAACCCGGACAGCGCTTCGGCTCTGACTTTTAGGATGATGCTGTAATAGAATACAGCTCGGGCGGCCAGGGAGCCAAACAGGACGCAAGCATAAGCATGTTACGGGGATATCCCTACCTACTGGGCTTCATTATACGGGGTTTATATGAGATATCCCTATCCTAGCTCTTGCTTATGTGCTGTTGGGGGCCCTATACGGTCTTAACCATGTGATCCCCCTTTAACCGGCGGCCTGCCGTCCCTCTTACCAACCGGGTGTTCCCTCTACTCCCGAAGACTATGACAGCATAATAAACTCCCACCTCCCAGTCCCATTCTACTTGTGATAAGGCTTCCTTTTGTTTGGCATAGTCTGGCTTTGAGATCAGCAGGAAAGGGGGTGAGGGTTGACAGGCTAGGTTGAGACCCCTTCTTTGTCGGGGGATCCCCAGAGTCAAGCTCCATGGACCATGGAACGGAGTGAGTAGGGCTATGAATGGCGCAAGGCTTGAGGGTTTAGGGTTTCTTGCTACATTCGTAATCACTGAGGTTGACAAGGCTATGCTGTTAGCACCTGCGAAGCTTGTTTCCACGGCAGCCTGAAACACCCCCCACCCCCCACCCCCCCCCCAAACATGTGGCGAAACCCTGAGCCTTGCGCAAGACACACCCAATCCTATTTACGAGCACTCCTGGAGAGGCTCCTGGTTTTCGAGACCACCTCAAAGACTTGTCTTCAGCCCTGAAATGTCGCCCAACGCACTTGAGCTGCTTCAGGTTTCTGATGCGGCAGCGTGAGATTCAGCTGGGCGTCCTCCGAGAGATGTCCTCTGGGAGCACAGACACACCGGAGAGGTTTTTCTGGGCTAGCCACAAGTGATTTGGGGCTGTTGAAATCGGTACCTCGTTTTTACTGGACTACTAGTGACTAGGCTCAGGATACTAGAAGGGACAGTTGGGCTTCTGGCTTAGTGGAGGCCAAACCCCAGAAAAGCCAGGCGGACCTGTATATTGGGCTACATAGTTACGGCAAGGAGCAGCATCGCACGACAAAGCTAACCGGGCTCGTAAGGTTCAGCACCGCTTGTTTATGCAGGGTTTCTGGTCTGGGGTGGTTTCGGGGCATGAAAAGCCGGCATTCGTTCTTTTGGTCGTAGGGGTTGGGTTCCCGCCTATGCGTGCAGGGTTGAGCTGAGAACGGTGCGAGGATAACATGTTTAGCAGTTCGCGTGCAAAGTCAAAGTAGACCTGGACTCTGTGAAACCTTCTTTCTTTAGGGTTCCCGGTTTTGGTTTCCTTATATCAGTCCTGAAAGAGGTAGAGGCTTAAGGACTTCAGGAGTTCCTAGGGCAGAATGGGTTTGCCCAGCAACTACGACCGGGTGATACCACGGCAAGTTGGACACTCTTCCGACGTTGCCTTTTTTGAAATTTGTGTAAGTGCGTTTCATATGCAGATCGGATTCCAACTATTGTTGTCGATCTGCGGTTGTCCTAAACCCTAAACTCTAACCGTAGACTCGCCAAGCTGGTGGCAAACGGAATAGTGCAATGGTGAGCTCAACGACGTCTCAATCATAACCCCTAAACCCCTACCCCCCCGGAGACCCCAACGCCAGAGAATAGCAACAGCAGTGGTCATGGATGTACAAACAAAAGCTTTTGCGGACTGACCATGGTGATTTTCATACTGGCAGCAATGCGAAACTGATCGTTCGGCACACGGATACCCGTAGCCGACAGCCCCAAATTAGGCGTAGTAGGATATGACCCCATGGCGGTCGGTTTTGGGCAAAAACGTTCAGAAAGGCAGGTGGCACAAAACAATCAAGTCCGAAGCGATAAAATCTGAGGCCATGCCCCACAGCCTAAATCGGACAACCCCACATCTAAACGGCTAATATAGGCATCATCAACACCGAATCAACACCCCAGCAAAACTTGTACGGACCAGTTTCCAATATCAATTAACCCTAATGCTACCGTGATCAAGACACCTGAGCAGCTCAGGCGGCGTGCCTCCAACCCACTCGAGGCCAAGGCCGCAATTGACCTTGTAGTGTTCGTAGACGACTAAACACACTACAGCTGTCGTGCAAGTACTTTAACATGCTTCAAATGCACATCGCGGGCGCGCCCAAAACCCAAGGACTTATCAGACATGAACAGGGAACGTGGACACCATATTACAACAGTAGACGTTATACCGTTACACCCACAGAGCCGAGTCGAATTCCTCAGGCTGTAACACTACCCGTTAGGATATCCCAGTGCGCATGGCAAAGATAGCCTGTGATATCATTTTCCTTCGGATCTTGTGTGGACCAGGCTTCGGGGTGCCAGGGTTCGGGATTTAGAAGGCAGCAAAAAGAAGGTGTCCGTCTGAGTGCAGGTAGGCTTGTCCCGTTGGGGTTTGTGTCGGTAGAAGTTTGGAAGCCCCTAAACCCCTAAACCCTTATAAAAAAAAAACTAGCCAGGAACCCCAAGCCCGGGGCCCTAAGTACGCACCGAGCAGGGCTTAGGGTTTAGGGTAGGGTTGCAACAGGGGCTTTAGGATTTCACTCGAACCGCTTGGGGTCCTGCTCTGGCTGATGCCCGGAAGCCCTCACGGCAAGTTCAGAAGCCGATAGGTGACCGACATCACCAACCGATTCAAGCAGAAGATGCTGGAGAAGCGCATGACATTGAAGGCGGGCTTTCAGCCCTAGAATTATACTATAGGGGTTTGGGCTTCAAGGCGGGTCAGGTGGAGTGGGGGGACGACCGAGAACTTCATGACTCAATGACATCCAATCCAGAGGCTTTTGGGTCAAGCTGTAGAAACCGACGAAGCACAACAAGCAACCAGAACAGCGGACTCCGGGCGGGAACCGGGATCCATCCCCACCGCTTGTCCAGTAGCTCGTTGCAGGTGCAAGCGCGCACTTCAAGAACGAACCGGGATACATACCGACAGTAGGGTCATCGGGCTCCACCCAAAACCACAGCGGTACTGTCGCCCCACTGTGAAGGGGTTCACGCTTGTTCACTGGTCACTCTTCGAGTTCAGGGATAGGATTCAGGGGTTCAGGATTTGGGGTCTAGGTCTTAGGACGCCAGGGTGCAAAACTCGACGTTTGCCAGGCCTCCAATACGATGTTCACCCATGCAGGCTGTCACGAAAGGGATGCCAAACTGTTACAGCAAGGGATGCATTTCCCCGAATTGTCTCTTAAGAAAGGACAGTTGTGCCGCCTACACTGCAGTAGTTGTGAAGTGCATGTGTGATGTTGTATAGTGCTCGGAGTAAATGATGCTGATGTTCACATGCTCACATGCCACAACAGTCCTCTCTCTTACGCCGCAGCCGCCACAACGAAAGCAACAACATGAAGTACGACAGCTAGCCGCTAGCCGTTAGCAACAAGCGACGACGGAAAAGGCGATCACATAATCACAAGGAGAAAAAACAGCAAGAACAAGACCAGCTGATGGAAAAACACGAATAGCAACGTCAAAAACCAGATGCAGAAGGACAGCAAAAAACGGTAGAAGGTAACGAAAGCATCTTCAATGATGACAGCTCATCAACATCTTCATCATCAATCACAACCACAATGAAAATAAGGATGACGGCATCGTTGATGATGCCCCTGCCGCCACAATTCCACCGTCGCCGCTTCAATGGCCCAACGACGGCAATGATGCTGATAACGCTCATGACGTCGCTCACAATTCCACCGTTGCCACTTCCACGGCAGCAATCGTTAATAAGCGAGGATGCGGTCAAATGGCAATTCACAACCCATGTCCTTGCATGGCCAACAAGCCAGGTGTGTTTGCCTGCGGCTTACTGTTGCTAGACTCTGGTGTTGTTGTGTCGAGAAGAGACAATGAAGAAACCATGGGGGCTTTGCGTTTTGGCCGTGTTGGTACCCTTCGGTCATAAGCTCGACAGCAGCATTGCAGGCGGGGAAAGTGGATGGCTTCGACGATGTCAGCTCGGCAGAGGAGGAGGAGGCACATTGCAGAGTTCAGGGGCCATAATCCTAAACTCCTGACCCATAAACCTTGAAGCCCTAAACCCTAGAAAAAAACCTAAACCCCTGACCCTTAAACCCTGAAGCATCAGGAGCGGACGTGCTCGGAGCCCCACCCTTCAACATCGCCGGTCGATTCGTCTAAGACTACCAAGCTAGCACTCTACGAACTATGGCAAAAGAAACGGTGTCGACAAAATCGCGAGTCTTTCTAGCTGGGTCACAAAGATGGATGCGTCCTTTGGGCTTGGTTTCCGGGTTTCGGGGTTCAAGTCTGAGCATAAAGCATTCAATGCTGTCCAATGTAGTTCGCTGAGTACTAAACCCCGCTTCTCGACGGGCCTTAGAAATCGGATCCCTATTTTAAGTTTTGTTAATTCGGAGGAGGCGGTTGTGTACAAATTAAAAGCCCCTCTTGCATGAGCCTTATTCAGGGCAGGGGGCGCATACACTCGCCACATGCACGGTATACCCCCACTTCGCATCCAGCTGAGCACCATCCGGAAAGGCCCAGCCCCTATGTGTATATCTATCTATATATATATATATATATTATGCACATAATATTATAGAAGATTCTACTGCAGGTCCCTGTTCTGATTGTTGAGACTTCGGAGATGTGTTGCTGCTCTTGGGACTTGGTCTTTTCGGCCTCTGCTGTTTCTGTTCTTGTTGTGGGTGGTTGTCAAAATGATGGTCCCTTTTGGGGTACCCTAAATAATAGGTGCCGTGGTATAATAACCCTAAACCCTAAACCCTAAACCCCTAAACCCTATTAAGGACCCAAAAAGGGACCATGATTTTGACAACCACCCCTGTGAACAGGAGGAGCCGGAGTTCGACCACAGCCGCTTGGAAGAACAGAGCTCTCCACTGCCCAGGGCCTTTACGGGGGCTTCATGCCACTTTACAGAATCATCTGGGTGTCTCTGGGGGCAAGTATAATGTGGGGGCTTCCATACTTACCAATACTATCTTGGTGGTTCCTTATTATAGTTGATTTGTTTTCCTTTCTCCTGGGGCCCAGATCTGTTTTGAGATTCGACGTCTGACTCCTGGAGACTCCCAAGTGCTGTTCCTGCTGTGGCCATGCCCCCGAGGACCCTGAAGTGCAAAACAAGAGCTCTACAAGTTTCGAGATAGGCGTTTGATGGGGGGCCAAACATACCGGGATGAGAGCATAGCCGCAGCCTTCGAAAGCTGCACATCGTGTATTTGTCAAGTTGCTGTTGGCAACGGCATTCATGGCTGCTGTAAGATGTGTGCCACGGATAGCAACCTGGCGTGCTTGAGGGATCTCAGGAATTTTTGATTGCGACGCGCACCCCAAGCAGCAGCACTATTTAACATCCACAAAAGCTGCACAGGTCTAAAGACAACCTTACCCTGAACCCCTAACGCAGAGACCTGCGAATGTGTTCTCGCATCTCTGTGGCGCCCAACAGGCGTGACAATGGAGCCGGTGGATCCAGAAGCCATCAAAGCCATCCTCCAGCCCCTTCGACCTGGAGTTCTTGCACAACTGGACCACGAGAGTTGCTTAAGGGAGATGTAAGGGCAAAAAATGCTAGAACAAAGGCGGGCTTTTTATAATTACGAGGGCTGTTTTGGGGTGTTATGGGCATCAGAATGCCCATGTAATCCCCGAACAACCTAGACCCTGAACCCTGGGTACGCTACAATACCCTAAGGCTGAAGCCCAAAACAACCTTGATGCCACGTATATCCTCGACGACCAAAGGTTGCTGGCAAGGAAGCCTCGTCATCTCACGTACTACAGTACATCGCCCGAATGCCAGGCTTTGGGCAGGTGCCCCAAAGTGTGTTTAGAGGGTTGAAAATCAGGATGCCCATCAACATGATTATGATAGGTGTGTTTGGGGTTCCAGGGCTTCTAGCCTAAACCCCCGGCCCGAGGCATTATAAGGCCTGAGAGGCCTACATCCGCGATTTTTAGTCACGCAACCCTTGCAGTTATTACGGCCTTGGCACTATTTGACCCAGAGGGCCCCTGTAGTTTCAAAAGCTCAGCCCGGGACCGAACCATGCACTCCTAGCTCAAAAGACTAACTAAATTAACACGCATCACAATGATTGGGATTTAGGGTTCAGGGGCGGCTGAGGTCGGACTACAAAAGTTTCTTCGAGGCAGTGGAGGCTGGACGAATATGCAGATACTACTGATGGGCAGAGTGCGACATTATCCGCTTAAGCAGGGTGTTATGACGGTTCGGGGGGCCTTTAGAGGGATGAGGCTCTGGAGGCATTCTGCAGTAGCAATATACTAGACCAGACTTTCCATAGTTTGTGGATGAACCAGGGTTTTGTGCATCAGCGGTAGCTGGAGCATGCCGAGTGTTTCAAAGCCAGAGCAGTCCCATGCCAACCCGCTTTCGGATTGCCGTCGTTAAGCAACGGCCCCTGGGCTTAGGGGCTGTGGGGGGCTGGGTCTCACACGACACTGGGGAGGTTTGTGGGGCACCTACTGTAAAGGCCTCAGATTGCCGCAAGCTCCAAATGTTGTACAAATCAAAACCCGAAATTGGAAATCTTGACCTGCCACGCAAAAACAAGCCTAAACCGACAGACAGAACTCCTTGGAATCTCACATAAAATCTATCAGACCCTGCACAACAGCCCGTAATGACTGTAACGTAAAACATCGTCTTGTGGACGTGTTCCTACCGTCTGCCGGTAGGCGCCGGCGCCAGTGGCCGTTACTGAAGCCGCGGTTGCCACTGCCTCAGGGCTGGCCTGGGTTCTCAGAACAAACGCCCCCGGCAAAATGACAGCTATTCGTTCCAGTTTGGGCTCCCAGGGGCCCAGAGTCACGGACCCTGTAGGAACCAGGCCAGTGACGTTGATTTGCAACAAAGTCTCTTGCTCCCGGCCACGCCAAGGACATGCCATTGGCAAGCGCCACCGTGCCAGCCGCTGTCGAGAGCGCGGACGCGAGCCTGCTGGCTGCACCCGGCAAGTGCGGCGCGGCACCCTAAACTCCTAAACCCTGCAACCCTGAACTCTGAAACAGATTGGTCTAGGCAGGTAGCAACTTGAACAGCCTCAGCTGCTCCTTGTGGATTGTTGCTTGCTGTGGTGCTTGAAGACTGCTCCTGTGCCGTCTCATCTCCCTACCCACAGTACCATCTGGGAATCCATGGAAGCTTCAGACTTCGAAGCCGCAGGCCTGTGGCCGATAATGTAAGCCTCATATCCTAACTTGTAGCATCAGGGCCAGTAACACTATCTCCGTAATACACTTGTAGTATCATATTCATGAATGTCCGCCCCCCCACCCCACCCCCCCCCCAAAAAACAAGCGTGTTTGAACTGTCAAGGGGCTCTTCTATTACACTCCCAAACCTCGGAGCCCCGAGCCTCAGCCCAATACTTTTTAAAAACCTGAACTACAAAGACATCGCAAGCAACTCCTCATGCTGCCTGATACCGTGTAAGGCATCCCAGTGTGGTACAAGTCGGAGGTGAGTCTGTCTCGCTTAAGACTCAGTCTGTAACCCTGAACTTGTCGTGTTACTGATTTATTGTCGCGGTCTGCCCATAGCCCCGCCATCCGGCCACACACACACACACACACACCTGCATTTTTTTGGCTTCGGAATGTGCAAGGAAGACTTCCTGTAGCCACCTCACAGTCCACGTGCCCAGTGTACCTGAGAACCCTTGAATTA